GTCGGCGGGGAGGGGGGGGGGGGGGAGGCCTGCTTTTCCAGCCCCTCCTGCCAAGTGGGTCGTTCTGCTCTCCTCACGTTCCAGCATTAACCTAATTACAGCTGGGCACGGCGGGGAGCTCTAGTTTCTTGCTGTGTTCCGGGGCCGCGGCCGTGTTGGCATCTATTTAAAGCCGCGCACAGCACAGGCTGGGTGGACCGGCACACTTGCCTCCTGCCCCCACTTCTGTAGAAAAGTTGGAGTTAATTTGACGCAGTCTAAACGGACCAGGCACATACACAGATGACGTCAGTTTGTGCGCCGCAGAATCCTGGGGAACCTTCTATGGCTAAACACCACTCCCCTCCGTGGCTGGTAGTGATTTCTGCTGGGGTGTGTGAGAGAGTCTCATGGGGGCGTAGGATGGGGATTTTGCCCTGGCCGCCCTCGTGTCCTGTTCTCCTTGTGCTGGAGTGGCTCTTTGTAGATTATAGCGATATATTCTGGGCTGAGGCTGGTCCTCTGTTCCAGCGGGGAGGTTCTTGGAAACTAATTTACTAAGTGCTGCTTCCAGGAGATGTGCTGTGAGCACCTTAATGCATTATGAATGCAGCGCAGCCCTACTGAACCTGCCTTTGACTGTGAGTACGGGTAATCACACCACGTGGTCTGTGCTTGGGAGTGTAGCTCCACTTACAGAAAGAAAGCCTGATCCTGTTTAGTGGACTTGGGGTGGATCTTGGCTGGATCAGAACATGAGTATCATAGAAGAGTTCTCCCTCCCTCCCTCCTTTCTTCCTTCCTCCCTCTCTCCCCATTTTACTTCCCAACCCGATTGCCTCTTTGCATTTCTCCAGCTCGGTGTCTCCATTTCTCTCTTGACTTTCTTCTAGCTTTCTCCTGGTCTCTGTACCACTTTCTTGGTGTCTCTCTCTCCCTCCCCACGACCCCTCATTCTTTTTTGATTCCTTTATCTCTCCCCATGTGTCTTTCTTTCTCTGTCAGCAAGGGAGCAGTCTGACCTCTCTGGTTTGTTTCTGCTTCTCTGTGGGATGTGATCCACGTGGATCCGGATTTTTTCACTGGTGGGTGAGTTGGTGCAAGACTTAGAACAAATTGCTCAATGACCACTGAGTCAGCCTGTCCCAGGAGCTGATCGCCTCTAGATGGACCCAGCAATGAATTCCTAGCCCCTGTTCTTTGCAGCTCCCCTGGGGCCTTTGTCCTTAGGCTCTTCATGAAATGGTTGCTGCGTTACCAGTTTTTTGGAAACCTGCCCTCTCCTGGCAGCTAGAAGGAACTGCCTTTTTGAAATGGAACATTCACTTAGAATCAGCTCTGAGTTGTTTCTAGGAGACATGTGGATGATTACTGTCGGTGACCCTCCCTCACCTGCTGGGCCCTTTATCCCCCAGGCACACATTTGCAATACGGGAATCAGCCTCAGCACCCAACGCTAATCACAGAATCGCTGCTTCCATGTAGCGGGGTGGGGGGACAGCTGGCACGACGTGTGCAAAGGGGAAGTTGGGGGCAGCTTATTTTAGTAACCGTACCATACCCAGGTGAAAATAAGAGACAGAAAGTTAAACGAACATTTTAATAGAGTTTTAATATAACTAAACATTCAATTTAGCAGAATTTAAACACCGAGGCCATGTTTTCCAATTCGGATTCTCACTTGTCTGAATTTCAAGATGGAGGTGTCTCGGTTCTGGGGCGGGTGGCACTGGCCCTGCTCTGGGGCTGCAGAGGGAGCTCTGGGCTCCAGGCCTCCCTGCCGGCAGTGCTGAGGCTCCTTTCTCCTTTCTGTGTCTCAGTTTTCCCAACTGAAGACGCAGAGCTGGAGTCCAGGCCCTCTCAAATATCTGCGACTCAGCATCCCAGGATGTCGTTCTGTTGTCTTTATGACTTAGACCCTGTGTGTGTATTGGGGGCTGAGCACCAAGAAGGGACCACTTCAGTGGTACATAACATATACATACAATACAACATAAAGCTGTATTGAGCGTTAGGGCTCTGGGATCAGTATCCTGTCCTGGATCAAATCCCAGCTCCACGAGGCACTAGCAAGTGATGGTGGGCAGGGGACTTACCACCTCTAGGTCTCATTTTCCATCTGCAGGGGAGGCTAGTAGTGGTGACAAAGGCAAAAGGATGATGCTTAAATGAGATAATGCACGTAAGGGCTATGTAATAATGGTACCTACTACTATGATGATTAAAGAGTGAAGGGCTGGTTTAACTTTGGGCTTTTGTTAGAAGAGCAAAGCAAAGATGCCTCTGACCTGGGGCAAGGATTTTCTGCTGAGGATTGTTTTTCAGCTTCAGGTACCTTCTTCTGGACCCTGGAGGCGGGTATGGGACGCTGCCAACATGCTGTGGCTCCTTTTCTTCCCCTGTAAAATAGAGAGTTCCCTTATTTATTTCACGAACTTTTACTATGTGATACTTAAGGCATTTGAGCTGGAGGTGAGAAATGGTCCCAGCCCTGTTAGCTCCTTTACTAGCAGTGGGAGGGTGCAGGAGCAGATGGTCACATGGGAAATAGTTTATCAAAGAGGTGCGAGCCAAGTATGGTTAGAGCGCAGAGGAAGGCGCCACTGTTCACAGACATGCACTGCAGCCCCCCACCCGGTCTTAGAGGGGTCAGGCTGTGTAAAGCGACACAACATCTCTGTGCGAATGTGAGCTGTTGAAAAAGCAGAACCCCATCAATGGCTAGAGCAGTAGCATCTCCCCTCACTGGTCTCCATGTGCCTCCCACCCAGAGACCTGCAGGTCCTAAATCCAAGACAGGAGGTGTTTAGGGAAGTGAAGGTGTGAGATAGAGCGTGAGTGAGGACTGTTTCCACGGGGCTGCATTGCCCGTGCTGCTTGCTTCCTTCTGTGTCCTTCCACAGGACAGCGTGTCACCAACCCCACTCTGCAGATAAGGAAATGAAGACACAGCCAGCACCACGATACCGTGGGCAGTTTTCACTCATCAAAAGAACGTAGACACAGGTCCATGTAATAGGCTCATGTCACAGAAAGGAAACTGCAATGCGGAGATTGACTATCTTGCCCCAGGTCATCCAGCCCGTGGGAAATAGAACCCTTAGTTCCAGACTCCGGGCCGGCTCTCTTTCCACTGAGGATCCAGTGTCGGGATTTCTCGCGAACAGACACCCTCCGACTGCATTTTGTCCACGTGAGGGGTCGAGCATGGCGCTGATGCCTTCCGTGTGTGAGTGGTGGCGCGTAGGCAGTGCCTGATGACCTCATCCCGTGCACACCCCTCCCCCTCCTCCCC